CCGAAATTTTTCGAAGATTCCGAGCTCTTCAATCCCGATCGTTTTCAAGAGGGACAGCAAATTTCAGAAGCTTACATACCATTCGGAATTGGTCCAAGGATGTGTGTTGGTAAGAAATTCTCCATACATTTTATAAGTTTAGTTTTGTCCAGATTATTTGAACAACTAACGATTTTTTTCAATTTTCATAATTTAGGCATGAAAGTTGGACAATTACACGTAAAGATGGTGCTATCGATGATTCTGAAGGACTACGAGGTTTATCAGGATCCAAAGAGCGAAAACCATTTAGATCCACGATCAACTTTTACAGCTGCTGCCAATGGAATTATGTTACATTTTCGAAAAATCTAGACATGACACAAGCAAATTCAATTCTTCAAACTCTAATTTATTTCATTCTTCTAATAAAGCCCAGTCTCTCGAAGTTTAATCTCCATTTGGGGCCCGTCGGGACCTTGAATCGTGGTGCCTAATTGATCATAAAGAGTAGAAACGGCAATAGAATTTTCTATACAATGACACTTCATTCGAATTTCAAAATTTGAATAAAATGGTAGGTGAACCAAAATCACAGTAGGATTCAGGAGGTATCCGATGTTTTCTATCATTTTGTGGACCACCTTTCTAAAAGAATTGAAATAGCGGAAGAATTAAGTAAGGGAGAGTGGAGCAAAATGGCCTAGTCCGGAAAAATAGAAGCTCCTAAAAAACCTCATCTTATCAATAACACTTGTACTCAAACTCAAAATCTAGAAGACGGTTAATTTCTATATCGTCCCACATCTTGTGATCACACAGGGAATTGTTGAATAAGTCTTCGGCTAAGGTAGGCACGGAACTAGGATAACTCTCGATATGATTTTAGTATACCCTTTAGCAAACTGACTCACAATCAAAAAGTGAAAAGGAAAATTGATTAAAGTAAAATAATGCATTTTAACCTTAACCTCAGCAAAATGAGAGCTTTATAACACGATCATAGACGAATTAAGATTTTACTCATTGTTTCCCCATTCTGGGAAGTCTTGATTTTGTAAAAGCCAAGTTAATAAATAAAAAATACTTTTATATAAGAGCAATTAAACTGTTTTATTAGAATGTGTTTCACATCGAGGACTGTCGCCGAGCTGAATAAAGAACAAGAACAAAGACCACAGAGCATCGATACCATGGTTTTATTCTTCCTTGCCAGCCTACGTCATTTATCTAAACTACTTACTGAACATTTGATGAAAGGAAGGATGAATGATTTTTAGGAAAAATGATTTCACAATATATCTTATTATCGTAATTCAATATTTAAATCCTATTTATTTTTTCCCTTTTCAATAAGAAGTTATTCGGTGTCTTCCGCCATTTTCTCTGCCGCCTTTCTAGAATTAAAAATGGTGGAGAACATTGGGTGTAACAACTATTCAATTCAATTATATTGTGATTAATTTTTTACTCTAAAACGCTAATTCTTCATTAACGTGCACAACTACGCGCGTCTGGGATTTAGTTATTTTTTTTTTAGATTTCGCGGATTCTTCCGCGACAAATCGATCATCAAGGGAAAATCCATCAATTGAAATCCAAACACCAGAAAAATCCCCTTCTCTTTTAATATAGGAAGAATAGCTTTATAGAAGCGCACGCGATCTTTTATCAATAAAATTACATCATTGAATCTCTGACAGAAGAAAAATAACACAATCGTATCGCATGGTCTATTGATTTCAGAATGATAATCTAAAAAGGACAAATTATTGATCGATAATTGTACATTTTCAAACAGTATAATATATTCATAGGGACTGTTTTTATATATCACAGATTTGTCAAGTATAGAAATTACTGCGAGAATGGTTTCTACTCAGCACTTCAATATCTACTGCAGTTATCACTAACAAATGTTTGACACACTAAATGTTTATCCAATGTTATGATCTAAGAATCGTAATTCGAAAGTTCAAATGAACTTTCTCAATATTTTTAGTTAAAATACGAGTTATTACAGCAATAGTCATTACAAATCACACAAAGTGACACTTAATACTTTAGGAATGACAGGTAGATATCAAATTATCGAAAAAATTCTGCTGAATAATCGTATTTATCGCGGTATTCATCTGAGCACAGGTAATCACAACTCGTATGTTTTTTTCTATGAATGCTTTCCTGAGTAAAACATACTTTAATATATTGTCGTCTAATTATTCTATCCCATCCAGTATTATAATTTATTCATTTCCGCCAGGTAAACAGTTCTTATTGAAACGGTCCGTTCTGCGATG